TGTCTATGTTGAATAATTTTTATGAGTTGATCACGGATCGATATCAGTTAGAGAACCATTGAAAACCAGGAAGTACTGGAAAGCTGTTGTTTCATCAGTCTGGTTTGGGAATCATCGGAAGTACGCACCCAATGGGATTCGAATCCAGGAACTTCCGGTTACAAGTCAAGCTCGTATACCATTCAGCCACTGGGACCCGATTCAATGGCCAGTTCATGAATTCTAACTTCTACCAATTCGTGATTTAGCGTGACCCCAACCATTATTGTTGTTGGGACATCCATCCACACACGTGATATCTAATTGGACCTCACTGGTCACGACTTCTCACTAGAACTCAGGAAGCTCCAACCTGTAGCAAGTCACTAGCGAGCATCAGATTAATTTTCTATAGTTTGATTCGTAAGGGTTTGTTATGTTTTTACGAGTTGATCACGGATTGATATCAGTTAGAGTGGGTGCGAACTGCCGATGATTCCCAAACTAGGATGAAACAGCAGCTTTCCAGTACTTCCTGGTTTTCAATGGTTCTCTAACTGATGTCAATCGGTGATCAACTCGTAAAAACATAACAAACCCTTACAAACCAAACTATAAAATAATTTTTAAAAGAAAATTGTTGTGTTGAAAAATTTAGACAAAATATTATTCAGTTTAATAGAATTATTTTTTATACACACAACTTTATTATCGTATACCTAGTGGTTGATTATTTTCTTCAGCTAGGAATTCTGTGATAAGAAAATACGCGAAATAATGAGGTCATTGTTGGAATGATGATTATCAACAGTAATTAGAGTATTTTTAGCGAAGAGCCTTTCTTTCTCTGTATGCGTGTGCTGTGTCACCATTGACCATTGGAAGTCTACGTCTAATCGTTTATCTGATATTCATCGGCAAATTTATTCATTCAAATAAATATTTATGGAAAACAATAACTTGAAGATTGATAGAGTACAGTGAAATTGTTTTTAGATATTGTGCAGAGATGTACTCACGTTAGCCGACAGTAAATCACTGTTTTATTCTGTTACAGTCTGTCCGTAGATACGTTGACAAATTTCGTCTGACAATGTCTAAAGAACTAACATAGAGATGCTATGCACAGTTGAACTGTGTTTTTCTGGGGCGAAAAAGTGTTAATATTGAGTTAATTTTATGTCATGTAAAACAAATTACCTATCCACAACAAGAATACGCAATTCGCGTTCAACAGAGACATGTACTCCCATATTTATGTAGATTCGACGAACAGTCCATTAAGTACCTTCTTAGAGAATTCTTTTTGTGGGTTACCCACGACAGACCAGGTTGAAAAGATTCATAGTTGATCAAGCTCTTTACAAGTGATATATTGACAACACATTTATCATATATAATGATAGTAAAGATGCCTCCCAATTATTCAGCTCATTTGAGAGGGCACACATTTGAATGTACATTTAACTCAAGAATATGAACTAAATAGAAAATGAATTACAGATTAAAAGTATGCGAAGATATATTCATTATCATCATCATCATCATCACAGTGGACTTTATCTGAACTTGAAAAGATTTTGTGCAGTAACCTACAGTGGTGTTTAGTGAGGACATTGTTCTAGCTCACTGAAAGACTGTGTTCGAAGACAAACTCGCTATCATTAAAAAGTATCCACGATACAATTGATAACCTTCAAAACTCATTGAGAAACACACCAGGATAGCAAATATAAAGTCAACATTTGATACGGTAGGAAAGGAACTCGCCTGCCTTCATCTTGAAATCAAAGGTGATAATATATCTGGGAGAATTATATATGTATAGAATAAATGGAGCTCTCAAATGAATTCGTCTAGCTGCCAGACTAGTCACAATTTACTGAAATAAAAATGACTACTGAGACTATCAAAGGGTTGAAGAATCCCTATTTCATGTTTTTCCCAACTGATTATAGCAATTTACATACGAGTGCCTAAGTATAAACATCGGAAAAGCGAAACGAAGTATTTTTGACCAAATGTCTGTGAACATTTCAGGAAAATTGCGTCTGGAAAGTGTAAAAGTGTTTCCTAGTGTGATTGTTTGCTACCTGTTAGACAGCCATTATGAAACTGATGTACTGAAATTTTTTAAGTCTAATAAAATTCAAGACAGTTCCATGTTCCCAGGATTAAAACCAAATTCATGCGTCCGAAGGGAAATCGTTCATGATTTTGTGTTTCATCTTGATGAACATGCTTTACGTTGTTTAATTGTGCTCCTTTTTGTCAATTATTTTATTTTAAATGAAAATTTGTTCAACCGTGTGATTTTCTATTCTAGTTTTGTCTTTACCTATAATCCTAACCAGACGGCTTCTTCACTTCTTTTCTAGTAAATTATCTGATTCAAGCTAGATCACAGAGTGGTGTTAGTTGTAAAACTATTGAAAACCAACAGGGAGTACTGTTTCGTCCCAATCCAGGACTAACAACCAGTACGCACCCACCAGGTTTCGAACCTAGGACCTTCCGGATGCAAGGCAAGCTCGTAGATTATCCAGCCAACGGTATCTAGTTTACTAGCCCATCAATCTTAACCTCTATCAATTCACGATTATAGCTCGACTGCCGGAAAATATCATCGATAAGTATTTTTCCTCACGCTCATCTGGATGGATTCCACTCATCAGGAATGCCCTCTGAAACTCCAGGCAACATTCAGTACTTGTGGCAAAATGGTCTTTCAACTTACCCTGTAACTAGGAGGTCCTGGGTTCTAATCCCAGTTCGTGCCTACTGCTGATGCATCACAAACTAGAATGAAAAAGCTGTCCAGAACACACAAGTTGTTTTTTTCAAATGGCTCTCTAACTGATATCATTCCGTGGTCAAACTTGAAATGAATTGAATCCCCAATAACTAAGTGTTGAAAGTCTTTATTGTCGGAAAATTCTTTCACCTCAGTGATTCGCTTCTCGATTTTGACCTTGGATATTTCGGTATTCGTCGACAGTTAGTTTCAAGTATTGTAATTCCGTGTCATGTACAAGAACCAAGTCTCATTTGATTAAGAAGGTTGCTGAAATCAATTTATATATCCAAATGAGAGATTTTCTGAGGTATATTGCCACTCTTTAGTGTTTAGCGAAGCATCTTCAAGCTTTTCCATTCACATTCTTTCTCTCGAGAAATTAGACATGAATTCTTCTGTGTTTAGCAGTGATTTTGAGGCCAATTAATCAGGTTTTACGGAACACAGACAAATGTTTGCTTAACCTGCTCTATGTGTCTCTATTCCTCAGTATCATTGTAAATTTTATGTTGCTATCATTCGGCGATAGGAAAATCGTCAAGCGATGGAAGGTTCAAACCGGAAGTGGACATAAACGTACTATGCAGACATTACCAGTTAGGATTAACCAAAAATTATTGTTTTCTTATGATCAATAAGATAATGGCTAACACTGATAATCGCGAAATCATTATGTTCTTTGAATTCACAGCATTATACACTTTAAATGGTCTGAAACTAGGGAAAGAAACTATACAACAACTACTCCACACTGATGAACATACAAAAGCAAATTGGATGGAACTCATAGGATTATGCCTTACAACTTATCTAAAATTTATCAATGCAATGTACGAAGAGATTGAAGGAACAATATAGGGATCGCGCACATCAGGATTAACAACTGTAGCCGTTGTGCAGAGATTATAATTATTAATTAGGCTCACCCATCAAACAAAGTAAAAGTCTGCTGGCAGAGAACCGAACGCAATGTAGACTTACGGCTGAAGCCCTATGTTCCTCTAGGAACTAAAGGAAACAATAACGTAATAATAATTAGGTCGAATACTCAGCTATAGCTGCAATAACCCAGTTACTCAAGAAAGAAACTGTGTGCAGACATTTATTAAGAGAGTCAAAGCACACTGTAGCATTCCAATGCTGAAAAGAAGAGAATAGCATAAAAATATTGATTCACTGTTCTGAAGAATAATGAACCATGTAAACTCAAACCGAATTACCGACAAGAAATCATCCTCAATGACCACAAGAAAATTGATCCTTTCATGAATAAAAAATATCTCTGAAACAACTGCTAGAATAATAAGACCATTTCAAATACCATCAGTTAATTCAATACTATGCACACCGGAGGATCCAAAACCTAAAGAAGACAAGATCAATACCGTCTGCTAAATGAACTGGGTAAACTGCGATAAACAGTATATTGGTCAAAGTGGGCGTCCCCTTCACCTTAGAATTCAAGAACATAAATTAGCTATGAAGAGATCTGATATGTATTCTTTCATATCGTTGCATTTAGACAATTACGGATACCAATTTGACTGACAGAATGTAGAAATTTTAGACTGTGGGAATAGTCGAAATGCTAGGGAATTTCTAGAAGCCTGGTGTTCAAATGAATCAACGATTAACAAACACACACTTATATGGATTACACTTACCAACTAATACAAAGTATATCACATTACGAAAAGGTTCACTTTACAAGTCGAAAGATATTGATAAATAAAGATGTAATTTAACAATCAACCACGATATTGGTTGTCTGTAGGGAGATACAATTGTATCACATTCATGGAGAATTCAAACAAGTTCACTGAAGATGTTATCTAGAAGAAAGACAAAAGCTTTGCGATTAAATCAACCAGCTTAAACAGCACAGCTAAATTGAAGTCATACACCTCAGATAAAAATTTTCTCAGACTACTAATGAGAGACATTCATCGGTCCTTTTAATTATTTCTGTGTAAAAATCGATAATCAAAGTGAAATTACTTTACCGCCTAATAGAACATTAAAAGTTTGTTTATATGTGAATAGAATGTTGATAAATAAAAATAAGCATGACATTGACTAGAAGAAGAAGAAGAAATACACTAACACAAGACACAAAGCATAGCTGAACAATAAAATCTAATAATAAGAATGACAAGCAGCTTTTGACCTGATTGTAACATTTTTTCTTCTTATTCTGTTTCCCTAATTGGACTAAGAATTGGTATAAATATAGACGAAGGCAGAAACAAGCAGAAATCGCTAATTAGGCGAGTGAGACAAAACCATGAGGTCTGTAGTATCACTGGTTGTGATTCCACTCATCCTTTTATTATTTGGGTATAATACACTGGACAAGGGTAAGTTGAATAGGATTATTTCTTAATCTGAGTTGATAATTTATTGTGAATTGTATATTTTAATGATGTGTGTACCGGTAGTTCACAGGAAGAACACTCAGAAATCATACACTTGGTTTCAGTTCAGGCCCTAGTTGACTCATTCCTCAACTTCAGCTAACCAGTAATAACCCGGATAGGAAGAGGAGGTAACAGATTACGACTGTGAACTACAAAGATTTTCAGGAGATATGTTGCTCATGGAATTTAGAAAGTATAAACCATTATGAATAACAGAAACTGTGGGGACCTATTTGTGGATAAGATTATGTCTGTGTAAAACAGAAATTCGGACGGTGTGTCTGATAACTTGACTGACGTCATGTCTCCTCCCATAATCAAATAATAATATCACTTTCTTTATAAATGTGAATCAAAAAGACACTCGGAATAAGATTTTCGATGGTGAGATTGTTTGAGGGGAATACTACGAACCTGATTTTAATTTTTTACTCTATCATTCATTCATTTGCGTGCCGAGTGTGGAAGTTTCATTTGTAGGGTGGGGTTGCTAGACTCACACTCAACTATCCATCTTCACTGGTTTCAGTACTGGCTGAACGAGATTTTATTTTTTTTTTTTTATTTTTTTTTTTATTTTTGATTACAGCTTGATTCCACACCGTATTTTTGGTACAAGTATGGAATTTTCAGCGTGGATATCGGTAGCCCAAATTCCGCAGGCCGACCATAGATATCAAGGTGTGCGTCGGCGTGGGCTCGAACCTCGTACCATGTGCATGGTCGGCGAGAGTCCTAACCACTGTGCCACCGACGCACAGGAGTGTATTGGCGGAGGATCGAATCGCATGCCACGTGCGCTGTCGGCGAGCACTTTGATCTTGAACCACACCTGACGATGACATCAAATAAGACTATCTTGCATAAATTTGGAACTCACTTCACTGACGTCGTGTATCTGTGCTCCTTCACCTATCTGTCCTGTTAGTTACGGTTCTTATGTATCTCGGGAGGTTTGATTCGAGCATGTTCTAGTGTACACTTGTTACATTAACAAAAGACTCGTGAGCATAACAAGTGTTTATCTCCGCAATGTACTCTTAGTCTTCAAAATCGCTTCCAGTCACCAAGGATGACACTTCACCACTATTAACATGTTTGACTGTATTCTGCCAGAATATCAAATCTACTGAAATTTATGGTCTGGTTTGCAGGAGAAGAGATTTACATGATTACGTCACAGTCTAGTGCTTCTCTAAAATTCCGTGACAATTAGCGTCCTTGACAAGAATAAGATATTTGATAATATTCATACAGGAGATGAGAAGATAAATGAACAACCCGTAGACTGTTACTTCAGTGGTGATGTTTTGATGGAAGGCAGTCTGATAGAAAGAAAACAATGTGGTTATTTTTGATTTTCTTCACTAGTTCTGTTAAATAGAACGTGGGTGTCTATAAATGCTCTAACAAATTTCTATACTGTCCTTCGTTGTATCAGCCATTCGTTGTAGAGAATTTTAACTCATATTTCGCCTCACCGTTTAATATTAGTCGCATGAGAAATGGAAAATATTCAGTTTATCTCTTCAAGCAGACTTAGTTAAAGAGATTATCTTGATTTCACCAGTTCAGTGTGTGTGACTACGAATACGTGGCCCCTTTCAACAGTAACTAATCCCAATTCTCTGCATGACGTCTTCATACATTGAACAGCAGCAGATATTCGGTAGTCCATTTCAGTCAACACGTTCCAGATACATTCCGACAGATTTTCTACACAAATATCTACAAAGAAACTCTGCGAACACCTTGTAATAATTGTATTTGAATTGGGATTTTCACGGAAGCACACGTACTTGAAGAAACGTGTGCTGATGTGTAGTGCAAATCCCAACTAGTCGTAGTCCTCATTAAACCGAACCAAACACCGAATTAGTTGTTTGTCGACTCGTTCATATTGATGAATGAAACTTTTCTTCGTGTAGTCTTTGTAGGTGCAACATAAGGTGAGGCAGCTGATGTCTCTGTGTCATGAGATGTGTGATGTACGGAAGTTTCTCATTAGCACGCATGGTTTATTAACAGCAGTTACTGTGGTTCTGGTTACATGATAAGTGTGATTCAAAATGTTTGAAAATTAAGCACCACAGGTTGTTTGGCTTCATGAATTGTGATAAAATGACTCATCCACTTGCGTTATGACAGTATCAGCGAGAACAGTGCATGGTGACGTGAATACTATGGGAGAATTTTACACTTTGGTATTTTATTGGATTGTAAAGTTGACTACTGATTCATTACTCAATAATTAATCAGAGAAAATGTTCTTTTCGTTTTTCTGACAGTATCAGCTCAAGGACGAGTTCCTACTAATTCCAAAAATGTTGGAAAATCTAAAATTCCAGGTGAGTTAGTCAGTCATTTGATTTTAATTTTCACTTCTTCTTTACTACTTCAAATATCGAAGTGAGTCAAATAAAAGTCGAACTACAATATCTACAAGTTTATACATTCAGATACATGCAGCCACCTATGAGGGATATTTAGTCCCAAAAATTATTATTATTGAGTACATTTCATTCTTCTTTTCGGTTTTACTTAATGCGATTTAATGACTTAACCATTTCACGATTTGCAGCGACATTTTTGGAGAGTATCCTGAAGTTTGTCGAGGTGTGAAATACAATTTATTCTCTCATTCGTACTTCTATACTATCAACTAACCGAACATTCATTGTCAGACTGAAATTTCATTCAATCAGGTATTCAAGTCTACTTCACCGTACAAGTCTTAATCAACCATCAGTGTAGTGGACGAAAGTGAAGAGGAGATAATCCATAAACATGCACATGACATGATGCGTATTTGTGTTGTATACTGGCAATGAAAAGCTTATATGAAAGAAACAGTTGTACGATCATCAGTATCTAACAATAAGCTGGAACATCTTCTTCCTCAGTTTCCAGTAACACTGAGAAACAAAGAGAACTCTACGTTTCAAAATTGCACGTGGATTTGACCTCGACGGATTGTAGATCTTTTCACAGGTGCACATTATCTCAAGTACCACAACTAAACGTTTTAGATTAAAAAACTTGGCAGAGCACTCACTTATTGATCTTTTTCAATGACATGTAATTTGGTAATATAATAATGTTGCATACGCTCACGTTTCTAATACATTTTAGAAATTACCTCAGTGGAACTGGTTCTGTCTGTCAGAGACTGGAATGAAGCAGTGATCACAAGAAATAGTGAAGCATCACTGGAGCTTTTGGATGAATATTGTCAGGATGTAAGTAACTTCAATGTTTAATGAAATATGAGTCTGGAAGAGAGTTGTTGACGATGTATGAATGTTTGTCAAGACAATCCCCTGACAATTACCATGGGAACTCTCATGTTGAAGACAATGCTGTCAGTTTTTATTTTTTATTTTTATTATTGATTACAGCTTGATTCCACACCGTATTTTCGGTACAAGTATGGAATTTTCAGCGTGGATATCGGTAGCCCAAATTTTGCAGGCCGACCATAGATATCGGGTGTGCGTCGGCGAGGGCTCGAACCCCGGACCATGTGCATGGTCGGCGAGAGTTCTAACCACTGTGCCATCAACGCACAGTTGAGCAAAAACGTGTGTGATTTTTATACATGTGGACGATATACTTTCAATAGATATTTGAAATCAATCGAAGAATTACTCATCACAGTACAATGAGGGATTTAGAAGACATGCATATTTATGTGTCTTAATTACTTTCAGTCTCATGAAAGAGGCATGAACACTTTGATTTATTAATTAACTGTCGATTTGTAAATATTAGTCCCTTTGGTGTTCTCAAAGTGTCAGTGCTCACTAATAACTCTGCAGCCAGGCTGTCCTATTTTGAGTAGACAATTCGCATGTAACCTAAGATTTCTCTCTGTTCTTTTGTTGATGTAACCAGGTGAAGGATGTGGTGAAGATTATGGAACCGAGACTGAGTTCAGTCGTCTTATCATGTGAAATCCCATTACATCTGAATCAAAATGTCACAGGACTCGATGTCACAATACACCTTATGATGTCGTCCATTGAAGTCGAGAATGCGTTCTCCTCGAAAAACTGGTTCAGATCATTTAAACAATCAGTGAAACCTGGAGCGATTCAAATTAATGATAAATGGCCAACGGGTAAGTGAAACAATTGGTGTGTGTCAGATGACTTAGAATATCCTAGTGGTTGGTAGAATAACTGCTTTGATTTGTGAAAGAATCAGGCGATCTGTAGATTTAGGTGAACAGGAGTTCGTCAACTAAATGGTATTGATTGGTGAGCACACTCATCTATTTTTATTTGTTAACCGTTGTGAATAATGCATTGAATAGTGTTAATATATGAGAGTTCGCGTCGATGGGACAGCGGTTAGGACGCTCGCCGCCCATGCACATGGTCCGGGGTTCGAGACCCGACCGACGGACTCCCTTACCTCGCTAAACCAAAAAATAAAGCTGGTAAAGAGGAAAAGTTGGGTATGAGGCTAGTAACCTCATCCTGTAAAAATAAACACTGCTACAGAAACTTCAAGCCTCTAGCTTGAAGCCCTATGTTCCACAGGGAACGTATAGGTATAAAAAAAATATATGAGAGTGGTTTGAACTTGTGAGCATATTAGTGTTAGTTTTATGTCTCCATGTAACTGTTCGCAAATGCATTGATGTTTTCGAGAGTCCATTGAAATAAGTTTATTTCACTTGATTACAGCTATTGTGTCAGTAACGAGTAAGTCGATGATTTCTATAATATTTTCATGTGTTTTCTATTTCCACTGGTCCGAAGGATACTCATGCGTGCCAAAGAAACTATAAATTGTGAATACTGTCGTAGTGAACGCGGTAGTATTTGGTATTTTTCAGTAATAATAGTTTACTTTTGGGTTCCGGATGGAAAATAAGTCTCTGGTCTTTTACACCCAGCTGTAAAATTGTTCATACGCTTTCATGGCTCCTTTACGCTGTCTGATATTCGGACTCACACCAAACTCCTCGTTTCCCATTCAGGCTCCGCTTGATGGCCTTCCACATGATGTTACTTAACAATCTCAACGTATCTCCAGTCAAACTCTACTTCTTCCTCCATATTTGTTGGGTCATTTTTCATTAGCTGGTCTTTAGCTAGAGTTCCTGGCTGTTAACCTCCTCCAACCGTCTACCTGATATCCGGTGTGGAGAGGAGGCATCTGACTGACTTGACATTAGTATTGAGAATTCAGATCTTGTTATTTATATTGAGGTCAGCCATTTTTCACACTAATTTCAAATTAATGAAATCCGGTGTTGCCTCTTTGTTCCTGCTTTTGATGATGTCCTCAGTGACGCATTTAGTTAAAACATTTACACCCAGATAAGTGAGAGAGGTGACTCCATTTAAGTTTCTCTCGTTGATGGCGATCACTTCTCACTGTTTTCGATTAAGTTTCTTTATCAACTCTGTCTTCGCTTTGTTCACTCAAAATACTCTCTTCACTGCTTTCTCTACCAAATTTTTGGTCTTTGCTTTTACATCTCAAATTTCAAGCTTAGTTTCGCTTTTATCAAAAGAAGACACTTCGGCTGGCCGTCTGCTCTGAGGCTTTTATCAGCCTGTGTCATTTCGTTCCCCTGGCTCTAGGGAAGCAATACATCTAGAGTTCATTCCTTCCCTTTCTGAACTTTGTACCGGCTGTCACATTAGTAAACTAGTAAACTTAGCGAGGTTTGATTTTCATTCCCGAATCAGAACCCTTAGCTTACATCTGTCACATTCTCACCTGAACGATCTGAACACATTTCTGATGATTCAAATCATTCCAGTTATGCGAATATATTCCTCCATCAGAGGGAAGTATTTCGGTTATGGCAAAGCTCCGTTTAATCGATTCGACAATGCTTGCAACAATAACCAAAACCCTATACTTCCAATTCATACTCTGGATTTCTGAATACAGCGTGTATTATGGTTGTTTGTCTATAGCAGAGTCCAAGTAGATGGTAGTGAATCAGCGTGTGTGGAGAGAAGCGAAAAAACCATCCATAAAAGAGTGAAGGATGAAGTGCTTTCATCCTTTCAATCATGAAACAAGCCAACTGATGATGCTGTTCAATTATTGAGAATGTAATGCAACATTCACAAAAGGGTCTACTATTCTTTCAACATCACCTGTAGGAATAAATCATTTGTTTGGATTTCACCACATGAAACAGCAAAGTCTGCATTAATTCACTGGTAATTTCCCCATTCAGATGCCAATTTTAGATGGGAAGTTTATGCTCAATAAAAGTTATGAACTGAGTCGTATAACTGAAACGTCGTAGTGCTGGAAGATGATTAGTTAGGAACATCCTTGCCTGATTGAATAATTCAGCTTTTAACGATATTGATGCGTTTTTTACTGTGAAAGTCTTGTTCCTCGAGCAGTATTAGTTATTTCTGAGCATTTAAGTTTTGTTAACATCGATAATCGGTGATTTACTGTTTAATCACCAATTATACTTTTTAATTTCATTTCCAGAAAAGGAATGGAAAAATGCAGGTGAGAAGACGAGTATTGTGACACTGTTACAGCGTTTTGACTCTATGCTGGTTATTGATCGATGTGTATGGACTAACGACCAGACTTATTCTCTCACTGAGCACTGTGAAAATATTAGATCGGCGTTTTTACAAATACTCAATTTTCAGTCCTAATGTTCGCGTGTGTGTTGTGATTGAAAGTGCATATAGACGACTACATAATCAGGGGACGTCAATAATGAAATAAAACAAGGAGAAACAGCCTTGGTATCCAACTACTGTCGCATAAGATTTAATTAAGTGATCGGAAATGCTCACAAGATTAAAGAGAGGTAACAATGGAACCATTAGCCAGAAAATAAATAAGAGGGCGTTTAAGGCATCCATGGTTTCACCATATAAGGAAGGGATGTATGCAACCTTAAGTAGGATTCCCAGTAAAGCAGGAATTGGGGTGTAGTTTAAGCCTCAGATTTTACTCAGAGACAGACTCTCTAGACTAAAGGACTCTAATGACATAATGTATTTGGCAAAGTACCTTCCCACTACTGTGAAACCAACTGCATAGATCACACCAGTAGATCGCTGGTGGTCAGACTACCGGAACACAAGAATTTATCTGAATGTAGAATGACTGGCAACACGAAGGTGAAGAGTTTAGAGTAAAGCTCAGCAATCTACATGCAAGTGCTAACACTCAATTACACAATTGGGGAGGGACAGAGCTGCAGTGATGAGAGCTTATATGTGTGGATTCAGGGAGAGAAAGATGCCTGAATTCTTGCGCAGTAGGAACTACGCAGTGTCAGTCCCTCAGATATGAAGGTATTACTACCAATAAAATCAAAGCATAAGAAGTAATAAAAGCAGTAAATAGCAAAGTTTGAAAATAATGCGTGACCTGATAGCAAATATGAGATATAGGTCTAACGCGAAAAGTCATCAGTAAATAAATACTAATGATGTCGCTATTCGCTAAGAGCAGATAACTTAATTGTGTGAGGGAAATTATGTCACCCTGTTTGAGAAGGTAAGATGAAATCGTTTGAAATTTTATTTGCTCATTAGTGTTTTTAAGAAGGGTGATATCGTCTTTCTCTAAATGATCTTTATTTCAGAATACACACTGTCCTACACTGTGTCATCTAAAGAACTCCACACTGATTGGTGCAACGAGGTTAGTTGTCATGCATGTCATGATCCGTCAGCTGATTTTTATTCTAAATTAATGATTGATTATTCAGTGCAGCTAATTGACGTATTTTACAACTAAATACCACGTGAAATTTATCCGCCTCAGTGGGCCTGTTGTGATGTGGAATGGTTCATTTTATTTATGTACTATGTAGGGAACATTGTTGATTTCGGTGTAAAAGTGGCTGTTTATACCCTTCCAGTGTGAGACGCTGTAACCACTTCTGCAAGTGAAGAGAATGGCAGCGAAATGAGCCGGAATAATGATGAGAGTTAGTAGGTGTCTGAGATGTTTACTGTTAACTTTCTTATGTACTTACGTGGAAGGTTTACTGATGCCTATCAGTCTGATTGACTCCGATTTCTGAGGAATTGGATAGCCGCTGCAATACTGTTTCGTTGAGTTGAAAGGCTCAGAGTTTATATTCTTGTGGGCTGAAAACCTTGATAAAACTGCCAGCCCGCTGATGGATGACTTTGAGGACGAAATTTGCTTTCTGCTGATGTCCTGCATGCTAGTGATTGTTATCCATTCCAGGTTTAAGAAGAATCAGTAAATCGTTTAAATGTGCTTTGCCGCTACATTCTTATGAAGAGTCACATTAGCCCCGACTGATAAACTGCTAACCGAATCTGCTTATACATGGAGGAATAAAAAGAGGACGGAGAAAAGGAGTTGACGTTTACTGATCTTCATGGTTGAGCAGACACCACCTGAAAAATTTCTGTGATGTCTGAATCCACAATTCTTCCGATATTATTTAATGTCAATGACATATATGCCCTGAAATCGGAGAATTTGATGACACTGGTGACTTTAGATTGTATGTTAGTTCTTTTGGCTTCCTTCTTTCTCAAATGTGACCGTATGAAAAGCGCGGTGAGTAAGTTCATAAGAACGATTAGCTCAGTGAGGGGAATATCGTTCTCGGTATGTAACTGTAAGAAATTCAACTTTATTAACATAGATGGATAACTGTCCAAATCGAGACATTGTACACGCTTACCAGTAAATACATATACATACTATTGTAGAAATATATAGTTTCTCCTTTCTAACATAGTTGATGTTGATGTACCTGTTAAGCAGAACAGTAGATTGCTCTCTTCATGAACAGAATAACGATAAAGTGAAATGCACGCATTGTGTAATGCAATGCGGATAAACACTGTCTTGTGCTACTATCTCGTTAACAAGTTTCACAGAAATCAGCTAAATTTTGTCTACAGACAATTAGCTATGGATGATATGCTAAAAATTTCCTCAGTAGTGTAGATATTACCAAATACACCTGAGTGATTCCTACTGATCTTTGATTTACTTTTTTGAGGGAACTATTGTGATCACTGTCAGATATAGTCATATTTGTTATTTTGAATGATGGATGTTATTCAACTTTGAGGTTGTATTTGTTTTATTTTCAATTAACTGAGATGGCTGACTATTCACTTTTTCTGTTTTTGGCTCATGTTTTTCAGTTGGAGGACCAGGTGTCACATCTCTACCCTGGGTTGCAAGAAACAGTTGAGAAGTGTTCATTTATTAAGTCGAAGAAAGCAATCCAGTTGAAAGTATCACATGAGAAACTCTTAGAAAAGGGTTATCTTAGTTCACGTAGTGTTCTCTTTTGGCGTTTCCTATTTGGTGTTACTGAAGTACAGTTAGCTAATGTAGAGTCAGGTATGTAGTGGCAAAAGTTATATTTATAAAATCAAATATGTGGCATATGTTTAGTGGATTGTTCTATAGATGTACTTTTAAATCGAAATGGTATTTTAAAGTTCATTTGCTCTGTGTGGAACAAAAGTCAAATATTTATGAGTGTCTGAAAACCATTTACGCATTATGATGCTTGTTATCATCGAGTCAGAAGTACACTGATTAGAGTGAGAAAGATATCCTTGGCATTTCCAAAACGTTATTCGCAGCCCCTTGAAGAAACATTTCTAATTTTTCTCATTTGTTTTTTTACGAGTTGACCACAGATTAATATCAGTTAAAGAACCATTGAAAACCATAAAAAGCATAACTGACCCTTACAAACCAAACTATAGAAAATTTTCTCATTTGGTTAGAAGGAACACACTTCGAAAACAATTCCTCATATCCATGAGGTTCAGAAACCTGACACATCACCAAAATCATTTTCAACAGGCTTTATCAGACTTTTATGAGTAGCTGACTTCACATAACACCGAAGAACAGACAGCCAATCAGAAAGGACAGACGACATACAACTGTGGCTGCAAACCATCTGGGAACCTACTAACCTAAAATATGCTGAAGAGATGGTTGAGTGACATCACATGTCAGGCTGTTAAGTGGAGCCCAGACCTAGAAGCGATGACTTATTCGTCAGAGGGTGGAATGAAGAGGATGATATTAAGGTGGAATAGGAGCTGAAAACAAAGCACAATGCAGGCATCTCTTTGGAACTCTGTTTTCCACTCAAAACGCCACTTATAGTATAATGGTCGAAGACAAGAGACTTGTTAACGAAATGTTTGTTAGGAATTTGGTATTTTTATATAGTGAAATTATGAAACTCATCATTTGCACAGATCTCCCGTGTAATACTGCTCCTCCGTTTCGCATTGTGTTTCTTTTTCTTCATTTCATGTAAGCTATGTTACGCCGCAACACTGGTTCATTTACTCTCTTTACCATCAAACCCATCTCTCCACATTTTTGTGACAAAGAACGCCTACTGCATACTCCTGATAAACCCTATCAGTAATACATGCCACAGTAGGATGAAGAACAATGATATGATAGCATAAATAGGAAGTGTAATTTCAGAAGCAGACCACCCTTTCATTCAGTTGTCCGCAGCCGATACCACTTGATTTTCCATTGCCTATAACTGTTCATTTCTTCCTCACACGATCTCCTTCGTGTGACTATTTGATCAACACCCAACCCGTCGCTTCATATTCCGGTTTTCACTCTGGTTCCTTTTGGGCGTGTGATACCTAACAATGCTCTCTTAAGCATATGTCCAATCAGTTGATCTCCAAATCCTTGTCCACATTTGTTGAATTCATTGATTTCGTTACCAGACTTCCTTGTTTTGTCTCCTTTTCACTTCTGGCCTGCCATCTCTTCTTCAGTGTTGACTGAAGTCTGAAGCCTACTACAGCAATATATGCTGATCATACGTGGCTCGCTATAACTCTATGTTTGTAAAACAAGTGATAGCTTCACTTGTTATGGAATCGGTCAAGAGTTGACATGAGTGAGAGAACCATTAGAAAACCAGCCGGGAGTACTGGGGAACTGCTTCATCCTAGTTTGAGACTCCTCAGTAGTACACACCCACTGGAGTTCGAGACGAGGACATCTTGGTTATTAGGAGAGTTCTGAGACCATTCAGATACCGGGTTCCACCCAATGGTGCATCAACTTCAAAGTCTGACAATTTGACGATGTATATTTAGCACCACTGTCATCCAATGTCAGTAACCGATATGATTTCGTGATCAATCCTGTAACCAGTCAAGCTTCTACAAAAGAACATATGAAAATTGATCTGATGCTGACTAGCGGCTGGCTCTATACTGAAAGTTACTTGAGATTATGATGATAAGTCGTAACCAGCGGGATCCATCAAGTTTCCAATCAGTGTGTTTATTGACCAAGTTTCAATAACAGTCAATATCTTTAGATATAGCGGCTTTCATTAAATGAAAACCAACTGATAAAAATCATTTTACCAACAGTTTCATGAAGAGTTTCTGTGTAACATGTATCCTCCCTTTTTCAACATGATTTCCAGAGATTCTCGTAGCTGAAATAAACCTTTCAGTTAAACCGTTGGTAATTGGAGACTACGACAAATCAGACCATCGATTCTTAGAAATCTTAGACAACCTCTGCGAAGATGTGAGTACAGTTCGCTTTGTAAATTTTTTAAAAATGATGATGGGGTGTAAAAATATGTTGACCTTTATTTCACAGTCAATGTCTTCTGATATTTTTGAATAATTTCCTAGTTTATTATAGCATTACCTTCTTGGGTAGATATCTGAGGAATTCATGAGTTGTTCTTGGGAATTATATTATTTAACCATAGAAGTATCGAGATCAGAATGGACAGCATGTTCATCACTAACCGTATTAGGATATCTATTTATCTGATGAAATGTCGACTATGATATACGGAAATTTCGGAGACGATTCGGAAACTAGGATTCACTTCCTTTGTTAGGCACTCTTTACCCGCTTCTTTCATACAGACAAATATACCACAATATGCTTCATAGGTTTTCATAAGTATAGAGTATAACCCAATAGAAGAAATAACGATAATGAAGTAGCCGATTCCGACTTTCGGCGTTGTCCCTGCCCCTCTCTTCACTGAAATAATTCAGCATTTATGGTGGAGTGGCAAAACCAAACGTGGCGATTCTTGTGTGTTTAGAACAAGACGTGATCCGTTGTTTGTTGTTCAAGACGACGATATCATCATGGTATCAGTGAAAGTGTCCTGAATGTACAGATGAAAGGCTTTAGTTAGAGAATACTTACACTAACCAGTATCACTAGGTAGCCAACTAGATTCAGTTGGAATACTAGCCCGAGGTATTCAGTTCTGGGAAAGAAATCAGCGAATCACATCTGTGGCATTTGTCAATATATAAAAGGGTAGATAAATCACCATGTCTCGTTTATTTTTAACTCAATTTTTGATTTTCTCGTTGATTGATAAGACCAAAGTATTCCACCTCTTTTGACATGTTGGCTACTTGTACGGATGCATCGTCAGCGTCTGAGGACTAAATCAAAGGGACTTGATGGATACTGACTAGCAGTGGGATCCAGTGGATACGCACTTCATCCGATTTGGGACTCATCACCTGGATGTATTCCTTAGTGAGTGATGGTGTTCCCATGAGGTCTGGAACCCAGTACCAATCGTTTTAAACACCAAAGTGGCATCTTTTAGAACATGAGAGCCAGCAAAGACACCTCTTATGCAATGGGACCCTTTGATCAGACATGTCAAAAGAGGCCAGATATTTCAGTCAATTGAAATTCAAACTGAATTATAAAAGAATGATAACTGGTACCCACTGCATAAGAGGTGGCTCTCATGGCTCTCTTGGTCTAGAGGATAACGCTTTGGCGTTTGGCACGATTGTCACTGAGTTTGGGACTCATGGAGAACACCATCACCCATTGAGGAATACATCCAAGTGCGAAGTGCGCATCCTGAAATCAACTGCTAGTCACCATACATCAAAATGCATCCCCACTTATTTAGAACATCACTTTTAAATTTGATTTCTAAGTCTGTTCACTAAATTTTCTTCATTAATTTGCCACTGAATTAACTTTCAAACTTAAGAGTACTTTCCACTTGTTTCTTCATTTTGATATCTTGCATAGGTCAAAGAAGTATTGAAGAGAATAGAGCCAACATTTAACTCAATTCCAATGTCATGTGATATCCCCGAGTTGGATCCATATCGACTAAATACTTCTAGCAACATTATGGTACTACTGGCAATGTCACATAGTCAAATGCAACAGGCACTTCCGTCGGAAGATTGGTTTGGAAGTTTAAAAGTATCCCTTGAAACTGCAAGTATATTAAAAAGTGATAAATGGATAACTGGTAAGTGAAATGAAGTCAATAGGTTTATATGAGAATTACTGTGTTATTAATACAAAAGAGGAGTGTAGTTAAGGCTGAATGCATCAGTTTATTTCGGTACAGTATGCATCACTTGCTCACGGGAATTTGGCTCAGTGTTTGATTTCCGATGGACTTACTCCTAAACGTCGCCTAGCAGACCAAAAGCCTGGTAGGCAGGTAAAGTTGAACGTCAGGTAAGCCGCCCTGCCCTGTAAGAAAAGCATGAAGACTATTGAAACCAGTGACTGACAAGGGAGTACTCCATAGCTGTGTCATTCATTCGTCAGAGACCCAACCTAACTAACTGTCTAGTTATCTTCAACTTTTAACTGACTAACTTCAATCCAGCTTCAAACTTGAATCCAATCAAATCTGTACAGATTAAGTCAAGTGAATGTGAATAATTACTTCTATAGATACTTGATACCCCTCTGTGTTGTATATAGGAGAGAAAAAGGGTGGAAACAGTCTTCTTAGACATACTCGTGTTCATTGAAAAATATAACTTCATTATTAGAGGAAGCATCCTCTGACTGACTGTTTAAGATTTTATTTCTCTATCAGTATCACCCTTTTTCACTGCCACACCCTGAGGCATTACACTGTTCTGCTTCTGCACATTTACCAAGATAAAATCTACGGAGTAATACAGAATAAATAAGTTTATTTTTTGACATTTGTGTGGTCACTGAAGTAAGGATTAGGTTCACATAGATATGCATTGGTGAGACTATTTTATAGACTAATTTTCAACAAGCTACAAAAACACATTTAGGAGCTGATTCTGGTGGATCAGTTTTCTTATCTCTTCAATTTGAAGAAAGCGTAGAATCTACAATGTCACTTATCAACACACTATCAACGACGATAACAAGAAACTTAGAGGAAATCGTCCACTTTACTCACCTGAAGAGTATCATGTGAACTACACGTTGCGCGGATAAGGATGTCAAAGACAACCAGGACCCATAAGCATACACAAGTGTTCATTACTCTAAAGTCGGCGTGGTGTTTTCCACCATTCAACATAAGAGACAAGATACCAGTGAAAAAAAACCAATGCTGATTCAGACAATTTTCACTAATAATATGAATTCCTCATATCAGTTTTACACCAGACTACACAGGAATTTCGTCGGAAGCTGTCTTCACTTGACACTGAAAACCAGATAGCTGACTTCAAGGGATGATGCAACAAGAAACTCCAGCGACAAATCTGCCATCTGACAAATATGCAGAAGGAAATGGAGATACACAGAAGGCATTCTAAGGTGACTATTGAATGACATTTCACTCCAAGAAGACCGTAACATAGAACCTGAGGGGGAATCAACAATGTAGCGGTCCAAAAATGATGTGAAAGGGGAATATGAGCTTTGAGATGATCACGGAGTCAGCTCAGGGAAGACTCCAGAGAACTGACTGAAATGGAGATAAACATCTGAAGCTCAGAGTTTTATTCGAAATCCGGAGAATGAATATAATAATAACTTCACTTGTATGACAGAATTAGGAGTCATGTACATTTCACACCGGATTAAAACATTCAGAACAACGTTCAATAATAGAGGGACATACTGTTTACTAACCATTGGTTGCACAGATGAATGTCTGTGTCGATTTTGTTAATCACTCAGTAAGTTCAAACTTTGACTAGCGGTTACTTGATAGTGGATGGACAGTCTCCAGATCCCATATGCATTACAGTTATCATCTGAGGTAGTTGCCTAAAAATCAACGGACCAGTGCATTGCACTGATTACAGTGAATAGTTTCACATGAATTTTACTAATTAATTTGACAATAAGTGACTCTTACACACACACACACACACACACACACACACAAACAAGCATACTTCAGTATAGACAATGAACACTAATGGTGATACACACCTGATAATCTCTTTTTCCTGTTTCAGATATCATTTCATTTGATGGTAAGCAAAATTGTTATAATTCAGTCGTAAATTATGATTGGTCTCACTTACTACGGACACACTGAACAGATAAGAAGACTCTAAAAGATCGGCACTTTACAAAACAATTTATGTATAATGCCACACAAACTCGATGACTTACAGACGATAACCAACAAACTTGTAGAAGAAGCAGGCCGCAAAAACAGGACTTCAAGTAAACAAGTAAACACCAGACATCAGTAACCATCAACGGAATTCACTCGAAAGAGGTCACCTCACTCACTTATCTGGCTAGGCAGCATCGTTTCAACTACACGCAGGTGGTACGAAGGAGGATGTCAAATAACCAGAATCGAAGCGACAGGGCAGATATTCACCATTCTGAAATCAGTTTGTAACTCTACTACACTCAGTACAAAGAACACAGTTCTCATTTTCAACACATTTGTTGGGTCAGTCAGTTCTACTACTTGGGTCAGTAACATGGAGCACGCATCACGAAAATGAATTTCCATAGGCTAACAGACTCTTATTGACAAGTTACTCCACTCCATATTGACCGCAGTTTGGCCGGAAAAATTATTATTATTATTATTGTATCCTTTAGTTCCTAGAGGAACATAGGGCTTCAGCTGCGCACCTCCATTGACTTCGGTTTTCTGACAACTTTTTCACCCTGCTCCAGGTCTGTCCACATGCTTTCATCTCCTCCTCGCATGACCTCCTCCAAGTCACCCTTGCACTGACGACCAACTCGCCGCCTCCCTTTCGGGTTCCACTCGAGGGCTTGTCTAGTGATGTCACTTGATGGTTTCCTCAGCGTATGGCCAATCCATCTCCATTTCTTTCTGCCTATTTGTTTCACAATCGGTTCCTGATTGGTTCGCTCCCAGAGATCCCTGTTGCTGATCTTTTCTGGCCATCTGATCTTGAGTATTGAGCGGAGACAGTTGTTAATGAAGGTTTGAAGTTTGTTTGAGATGCTCTTTATGACTCGCCAAGTCTCTGATCCGTATAGTAGCACTGACTTCATATTGGAGTTGAAAATCCGGATCTTATTTTTGATGCTGATTGGTGTTTACCTCCACACAGATTTGAGAGTAATGAAAGCCTGTCTTGCTTTTCCGATTCTGGCTTTGATGTCCTCGTCAGTTCCGCCTGTAGTTGAGACGATGCTTCCCAGGTAGGTGAAGGAGGTTGTTTCTTTCAGGTTCTTCCCATTTATGCTTATTGTTGTCTGTTGTTGTTGCTGTTGATGTTGGCCGGAAAAATTAGCCACAAATATTGGGCCAGTCGGGAAGAAATCTTGCTCAACAACTCTTCTGAAGGAAATGATGATGGACCGGACACATGCTGAGCTGACTATCGAATGGCATCGCGCGAGAGATCAGATAAGACACTCAAGTGGAGACACAATAGGAATCGACGAGTTCGACGTCTGTGCGAGGTTAACATGAAGGAGATCGTGTGGGAAAGAGATAAGCGACTATTGGCGATCGTGTGGCCAGCTAAGGAGGACCGTAGAGAATAAGATCAAGTGGAGATGTGCTGCTTATGCTGTGTGTTCCACTCGAAACCAAAGAGGATAATGATAGTAATAACAACAACACTGACACTATCTACATTTTACGCCAAAACAGACAGTTTACTAGACCTTACAAAACACCATGAATCTCACTTCGAAGTTTGTATTGTGAGATTCAATTGTCGTCTGCCTATGAGTGATAACAAATAATCAGAGTATACAAAGACGAATAACTGTTATCCCCCACCGCCATCACTTGAGAAGTACTACAAAAATTGATGTACCTCAATAACAGTTGAACCGATTGGTACTAATCATGAATTACAAAATCATTTCTATATTTCTGATACAGCCTACATAGAAAACGTTAGGACTACTATGAAGTGAAATTTTTACGACTTTTCTGATTAATATTGACCCACCTGAGGCCTCTGAGAGTCTGAATGACAATCAGAGTGGCTGAATCACATAATTAATCCTTATGTATGCTTAGACAAAAAAACTAAATTTGAACAATACTCAAAGTAACCTCAACATTAATTAATGAACTAACCGGCTTTTAATGGAATTTCTAGATATTTCTGTTTCATTATTAATACTCATAACAGTTTAGGTGGCTAGAAGGTGCATCAAAGTCTTTTAAGCTTATGGTACTTTGATACAATCCATTATTAATTATGTTGTTTTTTTTGGCATGAGATAATTTCAGAGTAATTTTACTTATAGACTGGCATAAGTAACGGAAATTATTTTTTAGAACTAACGAGGTTTTTTGATGACCATTCCGACAAATAAATAGGTGAATAGGAAGCTTTCAGACAACACTCAACAGACTATGGCTTAACTGATACCCTTACATCCAACTTCAATGGTCACAAGATTTCATTAAACCTTCAAGCGAACTGTCATAAACCCACCCAATAACACACTACAGACTGATGTTCTCCTTTAAAATTTGCGTTAACTTTTTCAAGGACTGTAGAAGCCATCTAGTAATCCTTAAATAATGAATGTTTCTCAAGACTCTTAGTCACGAAACAGAATTATCATTATACTTGTACAAACATGTGGATCACTGTGCGTGCAGTCAGAGAATATCCCGACGATGTGAACAAGACTGTTGAGGTCAGAAGTGAAATTTATCCTGATGAAATGCAATAGATATTAAGAAAATCACTAACCTTAAATTGTAATCGTGCAAATAAGGACTAAATTCTCCCATATCTGTTTCTGCACAGATTCTAATCCCAGTCTGTTGTGCTACCTTCTTCTCGTGTCTCTTCTTCATCGGACCTTTTCCATGGACATATTAATTATCATTTTATATGTGAAAATATTAACTGGAGATATTACTTAAATCTGTTTATAAGTAACACACATTGCGTGAATAATTTCAGGAGATAAATATTTCTGAGAATATCTCTGATTTTTTTTAATTTCAGAACCACCAAACCTCGTCAAAGGTGAGACACCTGCCAATACTTCATCTTTGAAAAGCCTAATTCATTATTATTATTATTAAATTACTCACGAATAAAAATCAAAAGTTGACATTGTGTGTCCAGGTTTTAGAATTAATAATGAGTGAATATTATTGGTGAAGTTTCTCATTAGGCTAAGTGACTCATTATTTTGTTGCAGTCTTGACGTTAGGCGACGGTTTGGAGGCAGTCGACAGGAAGTCATGAATATAAATTTTGTGATGATTGTTACTCCTTCCAGAAAGGATGATGTACAAACGTGACTGGCAAGACTGATTGGACAGTAAAACTAAGGGTTAGACGCATGAAATTCGGTTGTCCCGCGGGATCAATAAATTCCTTTCTTGCATTCTTACAGGAGACCAGTCGTGTGCTGGTCAATCTGAGTGGTAATGCTACTAGCCGGAACAGTGGATAACGCTAATGTGAATCTCCAAGGATTACAGTAGTCGCTTCTAGGATGAAGATACCACTTACTAACAAGTGAGAAAATTCACGAAAATCGGTTGTAGACCTTTCTATCAATAACCTACACTCCCAATCAAAGAACTAGGGAAAAAATAGATCAGATTACACAGATCGATCAAAAGTGTGTATAATAACTTGATAAAGATGAACATTCTGGATGTCCGAATGGGGTTTACATTATGTGTGTAATTCATCAGCTAGGAATGTACTATTTCTCCACATAAACATTGTGCAAAATTACATCTGCTATCAGTTACACAATTTCGCCAAACTCACACATATGGGAGTATCCATGACGGTGTATAAGCAAACCTTGCGATATTTTCCTGAGTTCTTCATGTTTATTTATTACGTGGAAGAATGATGGAACGGACACCATTTAAAAAGGTGTCCCAATGCGTTTGCACAAATTAAAAATTTTTCCGCATTATAAAACGAAATTCTCTGTAGATTTCCTGATGAATTGACATCATTCGACAGTGGTTTCGATCTAGTTTGAAGCCCTTCAAAAACCAACCACCCATAAACCAATCAACGATTCTAATCTGGTATCTTAAAAGTCGATATGTTTAGATATAAAAGATTGAGGGTCCAGAAATTCAATCAGTCATAAGTTTCCGAAGTATGCACTGTCAAGCAGTCTCGGAATGGAATAAAACAGTTGTTCTCAGTTCCACTTGGTTTTCAGAGAGATAATTGCCGACAATAGTAAAACGATAAAAAAAATGATTTTTCCGTTTTCTCATCTAATTTCTTAAAAATCTTCTGTGATTTACTTCAGGTGTATTTGACATCCATCTACGAGAATCTAAGAATGCAAATCTCACAGAATTATGCAACAAAGTTAGTTTTTATGACATTTCTTTCCTCTTGAATTGACAAATGAAAAGTGACCTTATTTATTATGGCATTGCAAATGGAAGACTTATGTTAAATACAGAATAATATTTTGGCAAATATAGAAGTGTTTTGCACAATACACCCAGTCTAAGTGACACACAGGCTGTCATTGCTCTGAAGTCAATGTGAAAATCCTCCACACTCAGCATAATGAAGAATGTCCGGGTTTTTATCAGTAAAGTTAAGTTGGAGCTTTTCTATAGCTCAGAGATTTGACAGTCTCTTCAGCATAGGTATTTCTAACCAAGGTGGTGCAAACTCTCTTCGACAACTGCCTTAGATAGTTTCATGATGAATACTGAATGTTCGGCTGAGAAGGACAAGTAACAAAATGTTTGACAAATAACTAAATGACAACCTGTCATCCAGCAAATATGGCCACATTCTAATGTTACCATTCAGTGACATCTCAAATACCAGGCGCTCAATTTGAACCCAAACAGAAAGCGGTGGTTTCGTTTCGTTTTATGGGGTAAGGTCACCCAATCTAGGCCAGGGTTAGAACCCGGTCGATATATATATATATATATATATATATATAATGCCGGAGATGTTTATCTCAGGTGAATGCTTTGAGTGCTACTGAACTACTTGAGGTAGAACCTATAAGCTGAATTTCATTTCCTCAAGATGCATCCATGACCCAGGAGTAGAATGTTTGCCTCCCACGCCCTAGGTGATCCAGATTCGATTTCCTCTCGGGATCCTAAGAAAGTCTAAGCACAAGTGAAGCTAACGACCCCATCTCATGAAAACAATGCAAGCGTTATCGAAACTCCGGAGCTAAAAGCAGCCCTATATTGTACTCAGAAGGCACAAGAATGAATTGAGAAGAGATATGCAAAAATTATTTTCTGATCTTGTTTTATTTCCCTCTTGTTTGTTTCAGCATAAACAAACACTATCAAAAGTGTATACAGGAATTGATAAAGCAGTAGTTGCCTGTTTTGGGGGCATAGACAAAACTGCAGTAATAATGCGACTGTCATCAACTGAACTAGTGAAGATTGGCTATTATAGTCAATATAATACCCTCAGTCTGCGCATCAATGATGCTTTGTCAGTGACGGAGTTGACACGTAAGTGATTCATTTTAATGTTTCATATGCTTATATATATACATGTAATATTATTCCCGTGAATCCTGAGGGGAACACAAGATATCAACAACACATGCTCATTTTGTCATGTCCACTGCAGTCCACTTCATTTGGCGCCATAACTCCTCACAAGCTGAAACCTCCACCTCAATCGAATTCCTTCAAGTCGCCAGTCAACAATACTCATCAGCATCATCAACATCCTCATCCTGATCGCCATCATCCTCATGTGTCAGACTTCATAATGTCAGTGCAAACTCCACCCACCAATTCTGCATTCTCACGCGAATCTCTCTATCTCACTCCATCTCATCAGAGTTAATACGTCTCACTTGATGTTTTGAAATTACTGTGTATACACGACTGTCTCATTAAATCTCACTCACTCAATCTCTCCATTTCTGTATATCGCCCTCCTTCCCTCCACAGAAACACAACCGGTCACAGATGAGTCAGAAAACACTCAGTCACATGGAACTGATGAACAGTTGACTACCACGCGTCAATTCAAGCCAACACCAGGTGAGTGAATTCATTATCCACTCAACATTCGTCCTCTCCAATCCTATCAATCGAACCCACCAGCTTGCCTTGCCTTGTCTTGCCTTCCAATACCCTTCCTTGCATTCCGACACCTCGACTAACCTTCATAACACATGCAGCATTATGCATCAACCACCATCCACTTCACTCCGCCTACCACACAAACAAACACACTACCTGACACACGAACACACCAAGCAACTAACTAACTGTAGAACTAACTAACAACAGAAAAATGTGCATATCCATACAGACGTATACACACGCAAAAACGCCGACACAATATATCACACCACAACAAATCACTTGAAGTTACATAAAACCACAACACAAACATAGCCAACCATCTGAAGACAACGCAGCGAAGCTCAAAAGACCACAACGAAAAACAACACCACAGAGCACAGCACGACTCAAGACAACATACCATCCTCTGTCACATATTTGTAGGCAAGGCACTACGGTAGCATAACAATACACATTACCAAAAATCACCAGTCATAATCACGCATCAACATCAACATCATCTACCTTCAGGCTCGATGATTTCAAAGACAACCCCACCCACCTATTCTGCATCATTCACACCAAAATATTCTCCTCTCCCTATCTACACATATCTCACCCTATATTTGTCTCTCTCCATCCATCTCTCTGTCTCTCTCTCTCCTTCAACAGAAACACAACTGGTCACAGATGAGTCACAAAGCACTCAGTCACATGGAACTGATGAACAGTTGACTACCACGCGTCAATTCGAACCAACAACACCAGGTGAGTGAACTCATTATCCACTCAACACTCGTCCTCTCAACTCCTATCAATCGAATCCACCAGCTGGCCTTGCCTCCCTTGACTTGATTTGCCTTGACTTCCAATGTCTTGACTAGCCTTCATTATCCACCCACCATGAGGCATCAACCACCATCCACTTCACTCCCCCTACCACACAAACAAACTAACTAACAAACTAATCTACTTACTCACTTACTCATTTACTAGCTAACTAATCAAACGGCACACTGAACTACACATTGACCAACTCATCAACCAACTGAGTAATCAACGAACATTCACGATTAACACTGACTTCAAAAGAACAATGTTCAAAGTCACACACGAAATCACGTCGACACAATACACACGACACACAACACAGTAAGAATAAACACAACAAGGCACGGCACAACACAGCTCAAAACAACGAACCATATCACAGCACAGCACATTTGAAGGCAGCACATCATGCTCCCTCACATATTCGTTCACACGAAATGCGAGATAATACAACACTACACATTCCCCGAAAACCATCAGTCATCATCATTCATCACCATCATCGTCGTTCAGGCTCGATGATTTCGACGGAAGCCCCACACACCAATTCTGCATCATTCACATCAAGATATTCTCCTCTCCTCATCTGCACGTATGTTTTGCGTTTTTGACTACATTTGAAACGCCTTTGGCTAAATATTTCCGGATATATCCATTCTAGGTTATGACGACTAATATGTGATTTTCCTCCATTCTCTTCAAACCTGGAGTACCACAATGCCTCTCAACTCTTTTGAACAGTGTCCGTAGACCACAAGAAAATATCTTTGATGCAACAGCTGAAATAATAAGATGGCGTGAGACGGATTCAGCACACCTGATAGTCAGCACAATAGCTTCATTCCATATTGTGCAAACAAAAATATCTGACAGAAGAAGAAGGAGATCAAATTGATACCATTCACAAGATAAACTGCATGAATCGCAATAAACATTATATAGATCAGAGGGGGCATGCTTTTTGAACCGGAATCCAAGATTGCGAGTTAGCTGTAAAAAGGCATCATACATATTCTTTCATATCAATGTATCTTGATAATTACGGACACCAATTTGATTGGGTCAGTGCAGAAATTGTAAATAGAGGAAACACCGAGAATGCTAAGGAATTTCTAGAGGCCTCGTACTCGTGTGAATCACCAATCGACGAATACACTGCTATAGACCAGATTTACCAGCTAGTAAGAATTTTATCACATGACAAGAAATTTCCAATTCGAAGTCAATAAAAATATGATCGATGAAGACGTAAATTAACATCCATTCACGACAGTGGTCTCAACGAAATACACTTACATCATTCATGGAGGATTCTAATAAGTTCATTTCATACTAAAACTGTGAGCTTTAAACGGTGTCTAGAAGGAAGACGAAAGCTTTGCAATAAAATCAACCAGCTGAGAGAACACAACTGAATCAAAATCATCCACCTGAGCTACAAACCTTCCCTATTATTTGTATTCATACTACGTATGTTCCTCCAGTAGCTACAGTCGATCAACTCAGTCTTCTCTTGATAGAGACTTCAAAATCAAATGGTGTCATCAACGTTATTGTCAGTTGCAGAAGTGAATCCAGTATGACATTACTGGACTTCTCAAAATAGTCATTTGACATTTAGCCGGACAATGTTCAGATATCTAGATTGCTTGCTCGAAATGATGAAGAGTTGTAGGTCTTCTCGATTCATAGACCGAATCAAACAGCTCGTATTTACATGAATTGTCATTTATATCTTGAAATTATCACCAGCTGGGTATAAGAAGTTTTGTTTTATGCTTACAATGAACATAATGGACGCTTTTATGATTGTTAAGTCTTGGAGTGGTTTGAATTTTCGACATTTTGTGTTTGATAGAGAAAGGAAGCTTTTGACAGCAATCGCACTGGAATACCACTGAGGGTTTTTCAGTACTTTTAATATGCAGTGCACATAATTTGTTCACACAGTTTGTTCTTTTCATTTATTTATTTATTTAATATTCACAGGACATCCTTCGATCCATTCGGATCTCGTTCCTTGAACACTTGTCACTCTAGATATGCGTCCGCAATATTGTTGCTGAATTGAAGAGTGTATAGCACATGCATACCCTGCATACGTAGTTCTTCGTACATCACCTCCGATGATCACAAAATCAGAATCCTGCTTTTTTATCCGAGCAGATATGAGTGCAGCCATAATCTACTCCGAAAACATAAATACTGGGGAAATGTATCATCGAAACTATAGGATGGAAGTTATTTTAAACGAATACTCTGAAAAAAATCACCACATATCACCAGCCATTAGAGTAGTCTGTGTTATTTTGTCTTTGAAATCAAACAGAGAAGGGACTCTGGGTAGGCTTCAATCATCGGCAGTAGATGTTCGATATGATGCAGAAATATCAGCTATACTTTCGAAAGAAACGACACAGCATATCACGCTCTCTCACATATGCATACGCAAGGCAATACGAGATAATACAACACTTCACATTCCCCGAAAACCACCAGTCATCCTCACTCATCACTACCAACATCATCGTCATCATCTTCCTTCGGGCTCGATGATTTCAAAGACAACCCCACCCACCTATTCTGCATCATTCACACCAAAATATTCTCCTCTCCCTATCTACACATATCTCACCCTATATTTGTCTCTCTCCATCCATCTCTCTGTCTCTCTCTCTCCTTCAACAGAAACACAACTGGTCACAGATGAGTCACAAAGCACTCAGTCACATGGAACTGATGAACAGTTGACTACCACGCGTCAATTCGAACCAACAACACCAGGTGAGTGAACTCATTATCCACTCAACACTCGCCCTCTTCAATCCTATCAATCCTATCCACCTGGTCGGCTTCGCTTGTCTCTGCTCGCCTCGCTTCTTCGTCTCGACACGGTTGGCTTCCCTATTCCACCTGTGTCATTGGCTCCACCATCCTTTATTTCACTCCACCTTCAACAAAATAAAGACAACGCTGGAAGTGATGTATATTCGCTCTCTCCTCAATTCAATACTTATTCATCTATCCGATTTACTGACCAAGTGATAAGCAGCTCACGAAACGACTCATCAATCTCATCAAGGAATACCTTGAGACTCCTTGGCAATATATCGTCCAACTATAGTGATTCAAGTGTTGGTTTGTAGGGATTTGATTGGTTTCAGGATTTCATCAAGAGCTGACATTAGTTAGAGAACCATTGGAAAACCTGGGAGTACTGGACAGCTGTCTCGTCCTAGTTTGGACCCTTCATCAGTGCACACCCACCAGGATTCGAACTCAGGACCTTCCGTTTACAAGGTGAGCTCATATACCATTAAGCCACTGGGACCCGATCCAATGGTGCTTGAATTCTAACTTTTGCCAATTCACGACATAGCGCGACCGCTAGCAAATGTCTTCGGTGAGTATTTGTCCTCACACCCGACCCGCTGCACCCTACTGGTCACGACTTCCCACTGGAACCCAAGTAACCCAGTGATTCATTACCACCGATTCAAAATATCACTCCGCCAAGACTTAATTCTGTTAAAATGTCGGAATTCATGTCTGTTCCTCTAACTCTCCTTGCCTGTCTTGCAGTCTTTCTGTCTTATCTGCAATCGAATTCATCGAGTACCTGCTATGCAGCTCCACTTGATACATTCAATCCTCCAATCAATCAATCAATCAATCAATCAAGCAAGCCAACAACCTATCTACCAATCGATCAATCTACCAATCAGTCAGCTAATCAGAAAAACTCCCACTTGCCAAGTCACTCATTTCACCCACACATACAAAAAGTGACTGGACAGACACACTTACATGCTCATGGTCTTCGTCAGAGACGATTCGAAGTCTTCCTAATAACATTTGTCTCGTGAAAAAACAGCAGCAGCAGCGAGGAAGGAGGAGTTGGAGAATGCTGAGGAGAAAAAGTAGTAGGGGTAGAAGGAGGAAGAAAACTACAACTACGACCAGTAGGGGGACTGGTTTAGCAGCACTGCCGACACTTAGGCCAGCAGCTGACTTATATCAATCGGCGGAATGAGAAACTGCTGCAGCTGTGAAATACAGGAGAACAATGACAAAGTTCACAACTATACACTAGCCAACCATACACTTCCTGTGTCAATCCTACCTTTCCTTTCTTCCATTGAGTTTTTTTCTAGCTGTCATCAAGAGAATATAGTCCGAGTGATTTTCTTTGCGAATTCCCTCACCAACTCACGAAATTTCCCCTTCACCCTTTAGCCATAATTTTCTTTTGATTTTTTTTATTATTTTCATATATTTCTTGTGAGTTGATTTCTTTAGTCTTTTATACATGTTTTGCTGTTAGATGGCTGGTCCGACGCTAAATGCTCCCTATTTAGCCGGTCCTGGGACCTGCTAATATACTAGCGAGCTGGTGAACTAAGTGAGTTGTGGTTGAAATTTTCAATGAGGAAATCATGAACGTTGAGTTTTCACGCTAGTCACTACATCATTGTACATCGTCCTACCAATGACTATGCCACACGTTCAACCAACTGCTATTATATTAATTAGTTGGAAAGGTTTCTCTATGAATACGATATCTACTGACAGGTATATTTAGGCCTTCATTCATCTCTCAGTTATCTCACTCAATACACATACATACGTATAACTTTTAATATTCCTTCGGAGTAACTTGATAATATTTATTGAATAACCTACATATTTGCTTATTTATTGATTCCTTCAGATGAGAAGAAGTCCTCCAACCACATCAATTTAGCGATGACCTGGAATCTTCAGACAATCATAATTTTGAGTTTACTTATCATGATAATTTCATTTCCAATGATTTCATTGTCATTCTGGAGATGTCACTGAAACAATTCTCAAAAAATGGAAATTTTATTTGACTTTCATCAGTTTACAATTTTATCACATTGTTTGTGTGTCTGAGTGTGTGTGTGTGTGTGGATGTGGGTGTGTACGCCTTAACGATATTTACATCGTTGAGTCTACCTACTAAGACTTCCATTTTTGTTGTTCCTCAGTTTTCTATTATTTGACCCTTAGTTGTGAAATATTTTTTGTTTACTCTCATTTTAATGACAATCTTTCATTTCCCATTAATTTCGTTTTCTCATAATTCACTGTAATATTGTGTCTGTGAGATATTTCATAATATTTTACATTCAACTTTGATATACGTGTGTGTTCAGTGTTATCAGAACACAAATATTATAATATTTGATATTAGTTTTTCATGGACGATTCCTTAGGGTCTCCATACTATTCAATATATACTTAATCAGCCTACTGAGGACTTTTCGTACGTTGTTCTTCCTCAGCCTGAGTAGATAATGTGTACAAACATTTCACTTAACTGTACAGTCGCAGTTATATTCATAATTGATTTCGTATATGTACGTGTGTGTGTGTGTGTGGGTATGCATTAGGTTTACCAAACAAGAATCGAAAATAGTTTGCTATATTCTTCACAAGGCAAAGTTAAACTTTGGACACCACTAACAACCAATCAGCAAACGACCTTGAATGAACCAATCACGTTAAAGAGGTGTACATGATAAATGGAAACGTATATTTATAGAAAAAAGCATAAAACTGTTACAGGGTGTATCTTTCCCTAACATGTGAGAGAAACATCTGCCAGTTAAGCATCGGACTGTCAACAGAAAAGTTACACTACATTCTGTACATATATTCATCCAAATGGCCATAAATAAGATCCTTTCGAGATCCATTTATAGCCCTTATCCTATTTTTCAACCTGCCCGAAAATCCTTCAACGGAATTTTTATGTGTCCTCCTACCGGGATCGACAAAATCACTTGAATGGTTCACTCTATGATAAATATATCCCAGAGATGACAGAGAATTGTAAACTTTCCATTAGTCCGTATGTACTATAGACCCTCGTTTTACAAGTCTTGTAATAATAGGTATTAAAGTAGTTGCTATTCTATCTGCTATCCTTTCGACGAATCCCTTTCGGAGGGAGGTGTCATACAAACCAATTACCCAAATATAGTTCGCTCGCTGCCGGACACGGTTGTATTTCTTTTTCACCAACACAGTTTCATCGACGTGCACGACATCTTCTCCACCCAACAACGAAGTGATTTTCTCCATTTTCCACGAAGCAATATCCCTGCAATCCTGATACCATTGAACTGTTGAGACTACGCTATTCTCTGTCCCAGCAGCTGCAGCTCTCACTGTCTGTTTCAATACCCAGTAGTTGCAGATATACAAAATTTGTGTCAACGAGAGGTGTGACCTTGCAAAAAGTTCCTACGAAATATTAAAATTAACAGCTTACCCTCTCTAATGCTAACTCGCTTGAAGCATATTGCACAACGATGGACAAATTCATCAGTTGACCTGCTAAAGTTTTTTAAAGTCAAGACACCACTACATGAACAAGTTCTCTCTTTCCGGAGCAACCCTAAATCCAGGCAATGCTGGAAAACACTATCCTCCTGGAATTGCTACCGTAACCTTGTAAGGGTACGCATTTTAAATGAATCAAGAGCTATACAACATTGAACTAACGTTCGTGAATCTCATTGGATAATTCGACGTCGTTCGCTGATTGGTAGTTAGTGGTGATTAAAATTTAACTTGGCCCTTCACAAGATTTAAATATCTCGAAAGTGTGATGACTAGTCAAGTTTTAACTAGGGCGTCAAGATTGTTAAGTCTAGGTAACATGAAAATGATCTGATATGATCGAATGTTAATGAAAGAGAACGCAGACAAGTATCAAGAATAATCATGTGGTAGGTAAAGAAAGTAAATAGAAGGTTAGTTAAGAAAGGTGTGATAGTAAATGTCACATGACAAATGCATAAAATAGTATTATAATCACAACATGGTGATAGACTTTTACCTGGAATTATACTCAAGGTAGGGGGAGGAGATGAAGAAGTTTCTTCAATGATCACAGACCAGGGTTATGCATCTTAATCGCTAAGACCTCTGCAATGCAAAGTGTACGGAAACTTAACGTTTTAGGAAGACTTCGTTTGACTTTGTAGATAACTTTGAACGAATTCGTCATCACCTGAGGTACTGAAGTTACAGCTTCGATCATATATCACGACTTTTGAAACATTTTGATGAAGTAGGCGATAACGGAAACTTAATTTTATTCTTGTTTGAGAAACCTAATGTACCCATGTCCAAAAAATAAGTACTCATTTAAAATTGTACTTGTACAGATAAGTGGAAAGATTCGCTGTAAAGAGATTCATCGTTGAACTATTTGTTCTTATTTCCACGAATAATGTCCTTCCGGGAAATATACGTGTACACCAGAGTTATCTGTGTGCGTCGGTGGCACAGTGGTTAGGACGCTCGCCAACCATGCACACGGTCCGGGGTTGAATCCCCGACCGATGCACTCCTTTACCTCGCTAAGCCAGTAATAAAAGGCTGGTAAAGAGGAAAGGTTGGGCATGAGGCTAGCAACCCCATCCTGTAAAAATAAACACTGCTACAGAAACTTCAAGCCTCTGGCTTGAAGCCCTATGTTCCGTTGGGAACGTGAAGGAATAAAATAATAAATAATAAGAGTTGTCTGTAAAAGTCAAATGCGCCGACGGATTGTAACGAAGGCAAGAATCCATGTATGCTTTTATGTCAATGTTGGTAAACATTTAATGGGCAACATACGGCTCGTTTATTCAAACGGATCTTTCATTTCGTCAGAAGTCAGCAATGGTGGCCGTATCCTTGTAGTACGCTGTTTAACAGAAGACTGAAGAAAAACAATCGGACATCTCATTGTGATTTACGCTTATGTTTATTCTTAGACTTTGTGCTAGACTGCCCTGTAGTCTTGGTTCGTTTTCAGCGAAGAAACAAACAATCCTCGAATCGCCAAGCTGTTTTCTGATATTTTCGAATCGGTTACCACACATAGTATTGAGTGCAACCACCTTTCTACTGTAAGCAGCGCTAGGGTCATGGTCTTTTCCGATCTGAACAACTGATAGTTTCTGATCTTACTACTTTGAAAACTTGTATCAATCTGTCCCGATTTCCTCAATAAACAATATGTTGCCTGGCCTCTGTCTTCTGTCCTGACACTCACACTTACAAGCCCATCCGAGGTTAGTCCAACAATTCGATGACTTTATTTTTGATGAACGATGAGTATAGTATAGGTGTATGATGGTGTATCCTACACCTGCATTTAGATTATGTATCAAGCTTAATCACTTAGGAGAATCTATCGGTCGCCAAACCAAACCTGTCTAGATATGCATAGGGTTCTAATTGTAAAGTATACTATGATAGGGATAGAGAATTTCCTGTTCAATACAGTCCTTTCTCTGGTGAGCACAAAGTCAAGACGGATGCTTGCCTGTCCTCACGAACGATTAGAACACAACCTTCTCTGTGAGGCCTAACAGATCTCCGTATGCATCGTTGATTTCAGTTAGCTATTTGTCTCTAGTTTTCATGCTGTCTCTGACGTTAATCAAACGCTTGCCTTTTTACTTTCCGTGGAATCCACTCACAACTTACAATTTTTGAATGACTGTCACTTAGATTCTCACCTATTTCGTTTTCCTAATAATTTCACATTAGAATCGCATTACTCGTGGTTACACATACTAAAATTCACTAAATTTACATGTTTGTAGAAGGCAAAGAAGCATAAAGAGGTTTGAAAGAAGCACATGCAGAAAGTCATCGAGAAGGATGTGTCACTATATTATACATCTGGTTCTATTTCCACCAGTAGAGATGCCGATTTCCAAATAAATCATTCACATTCATTAACATCGTCAAAATGTATTGACAACTTCAGGATTCTGTAGTACATTACTCGTTCACTATCCCGACTATTTTTTTTATCACCGTCCTGATTCACCTTGATAACTTAGCTTGAAACCGCCTTGACGACAGTGTCACACTAATCTCATATGAAAACTCAGAGGGTAACAAAATTGTGCATGTGAAAGGATGTTGTGCCGTACGCCTACTCGACGTCCAACTACTTCATCAAGACACTTTACTATCTGCTGACAGCTAAAACACCTCAACACTATGTAATTGAGGTGTCAAGACACATCACAACAGTCATGTATCTGATGAAAATGCATAAACGAATGAGAACACATTGAAAATATTTTACCAAATATTTATTGGAATGTGTGAAAAATAAAAACAGGCAGTGAGCCTGTTCAGTCATCTAAGAGTAGAAATAGACAAAAAATGGACCTAAAAACAAGCACGTCATGTATCGCCACGCTTCTTACTTCTCAATATTACTGCTCTGATCACCAGTCAGATTCTGTTCACCAACATGTTTGTTGTGTACCTCTGGGAAGAAGCGAGATATAAAATACGTGGTCAGAATCAGCCATCATTGTAAAATGAACTGGTGGGGATGAAATTATGTCCTGGATAGACACGGAATTCAACGCTCAACATGTTAATTAAACCTGAAAAACACATTTAAGATTGCCTTTAAAAATATCGACTGTTTATTGTCGTCGACATGTCGCTGAGCTCACATAGTTAAGCATATGGTATATGCATGTCACATCATAGGCAAAACGATACCACATGCTACGTGATTGAATCATCACCATCATCATCATCAACATTTATGATAATCATTGCACAAAAATACACACAAGCACAAATACATATAAACATCGATATACACATGCTTCTGCTGAAGAGGGAATCACTGGATAGAACACACATAGCACAACCAATCACTAACTCTAGTGTCAAATAAAGTGCAACACGCCAGATGCTGGAATCACTTTGTAAAACTACATCATATCTCATTTTAACCAGAAGAATGATGAAGTTCAGTGTCTTTCGATAGATGATTCCACTTTACATATGTACCGTCAATGAGTGAAATCACAAGCACTGTAAGAAATAGATAGCCAATATGAAAGGTGTTAAACATGAAAAATATTCATCAACTTACCATCCTTAGAAAAGTTAAATTAGTTAAGCAGAGTGACGATACTACACAGTAAACAAGCATGTATTTGGTTTCAGGATTTCATCATGATATATTAGAGAAGCATTGGAAAACCTGGGAGTACTCGACAGCCGTTTCGTCCTAGTTTGAAACGCTTCGTCAGTACGCGCCCACCACAGAGGGTAAGAACCCAGGACCTTCTGGTTACAAGGCGACCTCGTGTACCATTCAGCCACTGCGACCCAATCCAATGGGCCCATGAATTCTAACTTCTACCAATTCACGACATAGCGCGACCGCTAGCCAATGTCTTCGGCGAGTATTTGTCCTCACACACGAC